TAAGTGCCCAATTTGTGTTACTTTGTTACAACAGCCCTAGCAAACTAATACATTCACATAGGAAGAAATGATCATTATCATGACCTGCTTATTTTAAAATCAGATTCTTCTACAATGAAATTATCCCAAAGAGGGGGAAAAGTTTGATTCTTACTGTCAGTTCTTGGGGAACAGAATTTGGCTTCTTTATGTTGATCTCAATGCCATTGTTGTCTTGTTTCAACTCCACTGGGGACCCATGCACTCTGGCCATGCCTTCAAACATCTGGGATTTGGTTAAGGAGGGGGCAGGTGCAACTGTCGGACACTCTCCTTGCTTCTCCTCTGTGTCTCCATGAATTGTCTCTCCATTCATGCTGACTTTCCCATCTGCCTATAAAAACCAGAACAGACACAAAACATGCTATTTCCCAACCAAAAACTATAACAAAACAGCACACTCAGAATTACCTTAAAAGATTATCATTTAATAATCACAGCCCAACAAAGAATAAGGTCTCTCAAGTGTTGGATAGGTTCTAGAAGTTAGGACTTCTATAAATACCATCTTTAAGAGCCTCTTTAAAAGGTAGTTGGCCTTCTCGGGCCACTTCACTGTAGATTACATTTTATGTCCACCTTTTTTATGGTGTGCTTTTATTTTAAAGCATAGAAAACCAAGGAATCTTAAATATAAACACATGCTACATGAGTTGCAGTAATTTTCACTTAAGCTCTGACTGCTATTCCACAATTTTGACTCTTTTTTTTCTGGCTAGCATATAAATTAGGTGGAACCTACCTCAGATCAGAAATATTTTGCAGGTTATCCCATGGTGGTAGAGGGGGTAACAGGCACTTTTTAAAAGCTATCACAGAGAGCTGGGGACCCAACATTATGCTATGTTACAATAAATCCCTACTTGTAGTTAATTTTACAACCCCAATTTTTTCAATGAAAAAAAAGACCACGCACATTAAAATATTTTTGTTTTGCACTCATGTCTAGGGAAGGTGGTGAGTGCAAGAAAGAAGGAACAAAGAGTCTGGCTAGCCTGGCTTATTGAAAGGCATCTAGAAATCTCTGTCTTGGTTTGATGCAATATGCACAGTGGTTCTGAGCGGTACCTCTGCAGTTAGCGACCTAAGATTGAATTCTGGCTCTACCACTTAGCAGCCACGTAATCTTCAACAATTTTCCTATCTTCTGGGCTCAAATGCAAAATCTAAAATAACAGTATCTCCCCTATAAAGCTGTTATGGTGGTTTTATGGATTAATATATGTACAGAATTTAGAACAGTACCTGACACATTTTAAGTACTTAAGTACTAGCCATGATTATTATTAGGCCTTCTAAAACCTTTCAAAAGAAATAATGAAAGGCTAGATATTATTTGTGGTTTATTTACTTTAAGCCACTCACTTTCATAGTCTATTATTGGTTACCCATAAAAGAGAAATTTAAATCACAACTCAGCACACACACATAAATATAAATGAAACAGAAGTTTCCCAAAACACTATTTACCTTTATTTTGTGTGATGCACTGTGCTGTTTTTATTATATTCTATTCCACTTTATTTTTTTAAATGCTGATTTCAAACCCCTAAATTAATTTCATAACCTAGCAACAGGAGGCAACTCTCAGTGTGAAAATCACTGCCTTGTGCTATGTCACTCGATCTTCCTTCACTCTTAATTCTGTTGTACCTGGAAAACCACTGAGCCTGTATTCCCCGCCTCCCACCCACCAATATGAATACACACACACACACCACACACACGTCACACACACAATACACAACACACCACACTCAAACACACAACACACAACATACCCACACCACACACGCACCACACACAACACACCACACACACACACCACACACACACATGCACCCCTTAGCTTCTGTCCTGGCATTATCTGGTAGCAACTGCCCTATTACACATTACCCTTGAACACAACCGCCTGTCCACCCACTCAGTGACAGAGCTGTGGGCCGTCCATAGGGTTAAAAGCTACTAAGGCCTGCACCCCTTAGCTTCTGTCCTGGCATTATCTGGTAGCAACTGCCCTATTACACATTAGCCTTGAACACAACCACCTGTCCACCCACTCAGTGACAGAGCTGTGGGCCGTCCATAGGGTTAAAAGCTACTAAGGCCTATGGTGAGTCAAGAGGACGCCCACTAGTGAGTGGTCAAGAACGACTTCTAGCTTTAAGAGGAGCAACACTCAAGTTCCTCAACACTCTTCCCTGCAGACTCTTCCTGAGGCCTCTACACCATCTTGCCACAGGGAAGGACAGGGTTCTCTCGGAGGTGAAGTTTGGCCATAAAGTCATTTATCCTAATTCTCCTGTTTAAATGATCACATTGCTCTGTTTACATAAAGGAGGGGAAGTGGACAGCCAGATTATTTGATTAGATGCCTTGGATACCTGGTTAAATAAATGTATTCCCCATCCCTGTTCTGGGCAACTTCAACATAAAATCTTCTTTCACGAATTATCAGAGCCCGCCCATCATCTCAGGCCCTAGGCTAAGGAAAGCTATTTAGGCGGGCCCCTCAGCACACATGAACACGGTATATCTGTGTGCGCGTGAGTCTGCATGATTGGTAGCTCACCTTCTCAGGAAAAATACGTGTATTTATTCAATAAACACTTGCCAAGTGAGGACTACGTCCTGGGCACCCATGCCAGGCTCTCTGCATGACTCTGTGACTAACAGATACAGCCCCTGCCCTTAAACCAACAAACATCTCAATTCAACACAGATGAGACAGCCAGAGCATTTTTCTTTGGTTCTATCAGAGCCCAAGGCACAGATTTTTAAGATACATTCAGAGTTATTTAAGCAAAAGTCAGAAAGTATGATTTGATTCCCTCTGAAATGCTATAGGGAAGGTGCACGGCACTGGCACACATCACTCAGCTTAGAGACCAAACTTTTTTGCAGTCATCATGGTCACATCTCCTAGTGATGAATTCCACCTCCGTCTCCTATTATGAACTCATGTAGTAGGCAGGGAAATGACAACTGATTTTTGCTTGTAGTCAAAAGAGCTTCCTCATGATATGAGGGAAGATACCAGAGGGAAGACGAGTGCTTCCTCATGATATGAGGGAAGATACCAGAATTTGAGGAAGTGAGATGTTTGGTCGTCTTAGGTTTTTCAGTTCTGGGACATTCATTGGTAAAATAAACCAATTCTCTCTACTTAAAAAAAAATTCTGTCTCATCTGAGGACCCAGTACGTCTTATGTTGCCATGTGTTCCCTGGTATTTTTTTCAATTGTAGCATCTTTTTGGATATAATGTTAATTTCTTCCTGAAAGACAGGGAGCTGTATATACTTCTATTTAAACCAAAAGCAATTAAATTTTGTTTTGAGGAGTTGCCGTACCTCCAGATAGCTGGAGTTACTAGGGTATTACTAAGTTAAGGTTTGCTACCACTACCAGAGAGAGAACATGTCATTCTACCAAACTGGAAACTAGACCATGCTCATTCAAGTCCATCAGTATTAACAACAGTAATTCAGAGGAACATCTATCCCTGAAGTATCCACAAGCCAAATCTCCTGAGACACATAAACTTCACAATTGTAAATGTTAACACATTTTGCTTTTGTTTGGTAAAAATAATTGCATTTTCTTGAATCAGGATGCTTTTTTCTACTTACTACCTGGAGCTCACTTTTGGTTCTACTCTTAAGGAACCTGTCCTACCTTAAATGTCTTCAGAACCTCTTGAGAGTTTTTGGGCTGGGAGTAAGGCTTGGGCGTCAGCATAGGCACTGCTTTGGGAGTGACAGTTTTGCTTGGAGACCCACTGTCTGCTGACACGCTGGCATCCGGAACACTGGCACATGCAACAGTGGTTTCCACAGTGGCAGTGAACTTGGGTGGAGGCAGTGACTGTTGCCGCAGGTATCTCATGGGGTTGGGGTCGTTCGGGAAGGAGGATGAGTTTGGCTCTGTTGAATGGCTTCTTTCCAGAATTTTTGGCATCTCCAAGCGTTCGAGAACAGCCTCGCTGATGGTGAACCTCTCGATGTACTGCTGAAGAATCCCCTCTGCCTCTTCCTGGGACTTCGCGTTCTTATACGCCTCGTGCAACTCTCTCTCGCGCCGCTCTCTAAAGGATGGGGCGTGGGAGAGGGAAGCAAGAAGAAAGTCAACAGGGAGAAAAACTGCAAAGACCTTGGTAGGAGCCAAGGCAGTGCTGAAAAGATAGTGCAGGGAGTGTAAAATGTTGGTGTTAGAGCTTTTGTGATAATCAATTTTTAGAAAAAGCACATCTAGATAATATGGTACATTTAAAAACAACAGAAAGAACCCACTTTTCTTGAACAATTTCTCTGTAGGTTTTGATGCTTTTCCTGCGATCACTTGTCCCATCCTCTCCAGCCAATAACTTCTCCATTTTTTTCCTTTCTTCCTCTTTCTTGATTAAATCCTGAGAAGCACTTCTTCTACGACTTTTCCAACGAGCCAGGTCCTGGCAGGGAGAGAGAGAGAGACACAATGCTGTCCTTCAGGCTTGCACACCATTCCATTTTACTCTTCGGAGTTGAGTGGGCCCTGCTCTGGGCCAGGCACTATGCTAGAGCACCCCCACACAACCCAGTCACAATGCTGTCCTTCAGGCTTGCACACCATTCCGTTTTACTCTTTGGAGTTGAGTGGGCCCTGCTCTGGGCCAGGCACTATGCTAGAGCACCCCCACACAACCCAGTGTAAGGCTGGTTGGAGCAGGAAGGCCTCAGAGGCAGAAACACTCAGGTATTATCTACATTAGACAGAGCAGGGCATTTACTTAAATGCACAGTGTGAAATATGCAATCATATTCCATGTCAGTTGCCAAATTTTAGAGAATTACCTCACAAGATACTTGTAAGAAACTTCATTTCTTCCTATTTATGACCTCTGCATTGTGAGTGGGCTTGCTGACCATGGAATGGTAGGGATTAACCTATACATTTTCTTCATGGAAGGAAGTAAAGGCAGAAAAATCGGCTGTGGAGTCTTATGGACCCGATGACTCTGTATGTATTAATTCATCTACTCCTGACATCAACCTCACCACAAATCCTCCAAGTAGTTATAGAATAATGATGAAGTTAGGATTCTGGGGTCAGATGGATGGGAATGCAGCTGTGGAAAATAATCCTTTCATGCTTTGGAATCTCAGGCATGTTTCTTAGCCTCTCTGTACCTCAGTTTCCTCATCTCTAAAATGGGGATGATAACAGCACCTCTTCTTACAAGTCTGTAGGGTTAAATGTGATAATTCGTAAGATGCCAGGCACAAAGTGAGCACTCAATATATTGTAGACAAAGTTATTATGACATTTTATGAACTTCGGAGGAGTTAACTTTTTTGGCTAATGGTAGGGTCAAGTTGACAACAGCTACCTAAGAGCGCTCTGTGAGCATTAAATGAGAGAATCCACCCTCCCTCCTCTCATCCCGAGCTTCAAGCTATTTCCCTGCTTTGGCTCTTGGTTGTCAGCACACAAACAAATCTCAAAGGCCTCCTCAGCCTCTCCAGCCTTCCTTCCCTGGTTCTAATCCTGGCTCCCCTTCTCAATAGCTTTGTGACTTTAGGCAAGTGACTTAGCTGTGCTGGGAATCATCTGTGGGATCGAGGACAATCACAGTTGCTAGTTCCTTCACTCACTACAAGAATTAGATGAATTAATACATGCAAAGCACTTAGCACAGTGCCTGGTATTGACACACTTTCCAAGTTGGAGGTGATTGTTGTTGCCATCATCATCATCATCAAATACATAATCAACCTCAAATATACAATCCCCAAAGGCAGCGCATCATCAGTTCTACACCCATTGCATTGCCTCCTTCCGGCCCCCTGTCCTTTGTGGCCAAGCTTCTGGCAAGGGCACCTCCTGATCATGTGCCCAAGTCATTCGCTCGCACCTTTCG